AAACTTGTTCCAGGGTGTTTCAGCAACCCTTAAGTTCCTGGTGAGTTGAGAAAAGATCTGAAAAGGCCATTTCCAGAAAGAAAATGGTATCTTGTAAAGACAAACATACAAACAAAAAAACAAATTAAGCCCAAGTAAATTTAAAGGGACTCATGTAACAACTGAAAGAACTGATAGTCTAACGCTGGGAACACATTTGTCAGTGCAAGAAAGGGAACTGTTTTGGAGCAAGACTATCATTAATGTTAATGATAATTATTGAGCCAAGTCAGAATATTAATACTCCAGGAGGATTGATGAAAATGCTTGCTCATGTGTTTTCTCCTCTCTTTCATGCCAAGCTTACTGGAAGAGACAGTGATGAATTTAATGAACTTATCCTTTTTTAGGCCCACTTACATGCATGCTTTTGATGGAAGTAGTTTTAGTTTCTACATTATGCCACACAATTGAATGCATTTCTTTTTAATTTTTTATTGGATTCTCCCATAATAATAATTTGAATATGCGTTTTAGGCTCTGTGCATACATTGTAAAAATGTTGTGAAGAATAAATCATCACTCTGAGTATAGACAGAGGTAATGGAAAACACTACTTTATTTTTGCACCAGTACTGGGCTTGAACCTAAACGCTGGGCACTGTCTCTTTGTATTTTTGCTCAAGGATAGTGTTCTGCCACTTGAACCATACCATATTTATGCATGTGTTTAAGAAGATACATTTCTCTATAGAAGTCCTACTATAACTAGTATTCCTGAACTTTGCCCTGTGAGATAAAGACTTCTAGATGATCACATGAGGTGATCTGTCAAAAAATGACTTCCTGGTCAAACAAGTTTGGGAAATGTTAACTACTATTACTTTCTCTTGGAGATGCTGAGTGCTCATATGGACACAAAAGGCTGAGAACATTGTAGAATAGAAACTTTGTTGTTGTTGTTGTTTAACTTTGTACCTAAACACTGCCCCTTAGCATTTTCACTCAAGGCTAGTGCTCTACCATTCAAACCAAACCTCTACTTCTGGCTTTTTGCTGCTTAATCAGATATACATGTCTCGTAGACTTTCCTGCTTGGGCTAACTTGGAACCATCATTTCTAGATCTGTCTCCTTAGTAGCTAGGATTATAGGCTTGGGTCATTGGCACCTCACCAGAACACAAACATTTAATTTAGTTTTCACCCAGAAGCAGACAATATTGACTGTTAATTCAACTACTCTCTCTTCTTCCTTGCCAACTGGAGCCTGGTTTCATTGACGTAGTAATATTTGAACTAGGAACATTGCTTTGCCCACAATTAGTTTAAGGTTGGGTATAAGACACAGTACAAAAGATATAGAATGAATTCTATGAAGACCGCTGGAGGAAATAGTCTTAGCTAAATCAAGAGAATTGTATGGAAGAAGAGAAATACTTTGCTCTTATCACTTTGTTCCTTCTGGTGACACCATTATGTGGTGTGAGAATGCTGTAAACATGAGGAGAGACTTCACTGAAATCCTGAGCACCCATCTAGACTGAGTGTCATTGTCCAACCATCCAAGCAAATCAGAAAAATGGCCAGGTGAAGTAAGTCAAGTATGCTTCTGATTACGGACCACAGAAATTAGCTTGTTATTCCTTGCTGTGCTCAAACTTAAAATTAACAGTAGAACCATGATTTATGGAAAACCTTCTTAGCACAGTATGCCAACAGGCATCATTTGGGAATTGGTGTTGGACTTTGGCTTTCTTTGTCAAAGTTGTAATTCTCACACCCCTTCCTCGTGCCTTTACCCTCAGTTCAGCTGCAGAATGACACTGGACCTTAGCGTTTCTGATGGTGACTGTGGGCTGAGCATAATCCCTGGTCTCTGTGGGTAGCAAAAGGAGAATTTTCATTTAAATAATGAAGCTCAGATTTAGGAGGCCTTTCCCTAGGAGCAACTGTAGGCAGTTTGTCAGAAGTATTTTAAATGGATTCTATAGGTAGTGAGTTTCACTCATTGCCCAAAAACATTACCTATCAGTAAAGTTTTTGCAAGTCTAGTTCCACATCTTCATTACATGCATGAAGAAATAGAGGCAGAGTCACATTGTTGACTTACTGTCTCCTTAACAATTTCTAATCTGGAGCCTCCCCTCCCCCCACCCCAGGGCCAGGCTGCTGGAGAGGCTGAGCACTTTGGACACTGAGGACAGTGCCAGCCACCTCAGTCAAGTGAGCTCCAGCTTCCCAGCGCTGGACTAATACTTGTCACATTTGTGCCTGAAATGGTGAGAAAAGGGCTCATTCTCAAAGCTTCCCTCCTCTAGGTAGAGGTAGTCAAAGTTTGTTTCCAAAAATTACAGAACAAGGCTACTGAGGGTTCACACTTGTAATCCTAGCTATTCAGGAGACAGAGATCTGAGGATTGTGGTTGGTTCAAAGGCAGCCCAGACAGGAAAGTCCATGAAACTCTCTTCTCTAATTGACTACCCAAAAGCTATATGTACAGCAGGGACATAAGTGGCAGAGCACCAGCCTTGAGTGAAAAAGCTAAGGGGCTGAGCTTAAATCCCAAGTTCAAGCTCCAGTACAGGGCCCAAAACTTCTAAAAAAGGAGCTACATCTATAAAACTTTGTAGAGAGGCATAAAGAGAAAGCTGGTTATCCCTAAGCCTCATTATGCCCTCTTTCTGCCTTCCTCGAGTGAACAGACTAGAACAATCTATGATGCATCCTTTTCTGTTTTACTCTGTGTTCCCTACTGTATGTGATAGAGGCTACTTTGGCTTTCTTTAAGAATTTCCTTTAAAATGGAATCCAATTATCTATGTTTCTCACTACCTTGGTTTTTATCTTTTACTAGTATATCAAGAACATCCCTTGGGTTGAATGGAACTGGACCAAGTCCATTCATCCATTCATTTTACTAGTTACAACATATTACATCAGGTCACTGCAGTACATTTCAATTTACCATCTTTTAGTTCCTTGATATTAACCTTATTTCTTGTTATTCTCTATAGAATAGATTCACATACAGAGCTTTGTATTTTTTAATTATTTTTGTGCCGGTATTGGGACTGGAATTTCAGGCCCGGGAGCTGTTCTTCAGCTTTTTTACTCAAAGCTGATACTGTACCAGTTGAGCTGTATTTCTACTTCTGACTTTTTTCCTGCTAAGTTGGAGATAAGAGTCTCTTGGATTTGTCTGCCCAGGCTAACTTTGAACTATGATACTCAGATCTCATCCTTCTGAGTAGGCTTACAGACATAAGCCACTGGTATCCAGACACATGTAACTTTAGCTACAACATACAAGCATACAAATATGTCAGTATCATTCCTGTTAATATTTTCCTGATAGACCAGCACAAAATTGCTTTGCTTCATCAGAACATACGAGTATTACTCATTTGAAGGAATACATAGCATGTTTCTACCATATCCTCACTATCATTGAAGGTTGTCACTTTCTAAGGTTTGTTTCCAATACCACCTGGCCCAGGCTTGTTGTTTTCATTGACATTTCTTTGGTCAGTATCATCAGTGATTTTCGTGCATCTTTTTCTGATTTTTATTGACCATTGGATTATTTTTCCTTAAAAAATAACTTGCAGTGTGCTAAAGGTTCTAAGACCATAGCTAAAAAATAGTTTGGAAATATTTAGGGAAAGGAATATGTTTGTGAAATATCAAATACTTCATGAGTCAGGGTTTGTGTGTTCACGTGTGTGTTCACATAGTGCTCTAATAAAGAATCCATATTACTAGTTAATAGTGATAGCATTTCCCCAAGATTACTTGTATTTCAAAGATGATATCTATAAGGAAGCATCCAGAAGAAAAGCTATAAAAGTAAATATGAAAACTATGAGACGTGAAAACTATGAAAGCCCGCATTCTAGAATCACCTTTAGCAAACAATGTTCTGAAAAAAATCCAACTTTTCTTTGCTTTTTTTTTGGTTGTTTGTTTGTTGTGGCAGAACTGAGGTAGACAAAGAGTCTAACATGTGCTAGGCAATTCCTATACCACCTGACTGCCCACCCCCAGCCCAATGATGGTGTCACAGAGAGCCTACCCATGTCTGTAGCCTAGTTAGAACAGTGATTGTCAATCCTCTTTCTCTCTGTTTTGGCCATGGAGATTATTTTGATCTTTTTTGATCTTCAGTTAATATGTAAGGAGGCATTGCACACTAAAAACTCTTCTCCATGAGCCAACAAAGTGGTTAAAATATCTATGCCAAAACTCTATCAAGAATATGGATGTGAAACACACATGGTAATGTGTCTGGCTTTTCACACTGAGGTTAAAAGCTGATGTTAACATGTGAGACAGACATCAGATCATTAAGAAGATGTATCATTTTTGCTGAGACCAGAGGATTGCAATAGACCTGGGAATATCTATTAAAATCGCAAGTTCTGCTTTAGTGTCTAAGTTCTGCCTGAGTCAAAGTTCTTGCAGTCTAAGACTTGTCTCTACATTACACATAACAGCATTAGGGTTTTGTTTTTGTTTTTGTGGGGTTTGGGGCAGTAGTGGGCTTGTACTTAGGATATCATATGTGCTAGGCTGGTGAGATAGTGCTGAACCATTCTTCCAGTCCTGTTTTACACAGGTTAATTGAAGATTTTTTTTCTTACTTCCCACTTAGGCATATACCTGAGCTATGATCTGCCTGTTTTAGACTTCCCATCATTGCTGGGGTCACAAGGAAATATCATACGGATTCTGACTTACCACTGTGGGAATCCAGTCTCTTAGACTTATCTGCTTGGACTGTCCTGGAACCAGAGTCCTTTTGATCTCAGCCTCTCAGATAGCTTGGGAAGACAAGACCATGCTACTGCACTATGTATTATATGTTGAGAAGGGTCTTGCAACCCCTGGGCTGGCCTTGAACTGAGATCCTGCCATTCTTAGCCTCTTAAGTAGTAGGAATGGCAGTGTTGTCTTATATACAACATGTTCCTAGGGTTTTTAGAATGTATATTATAACTATTCCATGATTTTTAACTCTTAGGTACCTCGTAGATGAAATCAAGAAGAGGGAAGGTTTCAAGTTACTGATGGAGGTAAGTGACTATGGAATTGTGCTTGTGGTTTTGCCAGTCAACTGTGATGAAGGTGGAAATTTTTTAATCTGTTATATTTCATTGATTTTTTTGTGTTAGAAACTTAGAAACAACTCATTAGCTTAATTTGTAGAGTCCATTATGCTAATTTACTCTATTAGTGAGTATTTTTCTTTGTTAGATTCACAGGGAACACACTTGCCTTTAAGTTTGAAAATTAAAAAGCTCAATAATAATTACCTAGGATAATACTGAATAAATTATGACCTCTATCTTGATGTATAAATTGCATAATGATTGTACCGCAAATATTCAATTGTGCCTGCATGTAAAAAATCAATTAAGGCAATGTACAATAATGCATATACTTTCTCTTTTATATGAAATAATGAGAGCATATTAGCTTTGGAGCAATGGAAAAATAAGTCATTTTGTTATTTGTGTTGTTGGATTATTTGCAATATTGCAAAGACAGTGAATTTTTTTCTAAAATACCTGGTAAGGAAATGTGGGGAATATTTTTAACTGATTTTTATAAGTTTTTAATGTAAAAATACTGTACAGAGGAGGGGTTACAGTTACGTGAGCAAGGTAATGAGTCCATTTCCTATCAAGCATTGTTGCCTCCTCCTACCTACCATCCCTTCCCTCCCACCTCCACAACTACATTAACTCTGATTTTTTAAGACATAATGTGAGCTTACTTTTGATCTTGCTATAGTATATATCTGGTAGCAATTTTTAACCTAATCTAAAATCACCTAGAGATTACCATTTAACATCCTCTACTATCTATAAGAAAAACCTAGTTTTTCTTTGTCTAATATTTTATTCATTTTAATTAATTAATTATTATTATTTTATTATATGGAAGCATTACCCCATACTAGGTACAGTGATAGGCACTGGAAATACAACACAAGAGAGGCCACTGCTCCACGGTGCTTCATTCAGATAGCTCTTTGCCCTAAGCAAACAACTTGACACATGGAGCGAGAAGGCTGCAGAAAACAAGCAGGTCTGTGAGAGATAACCCAGGATATACACTAGTACAGCTATCAATATGGAAAGTACTATAACTGCAGTAAATATACAGCACAGGTCTACAGTTGAAGTGTGTGTTGTTAGGCACTTGGTTTGGATGGTTAAGTTGGGATCATATTTGCTTATCTTTGAGCAGAGATCTGATTATGATAGACAGCAGGCCATGTGGATGTTTGAGGGAAAGGCACTCCACAAAGACCCAATGAAAAATCACAAAGACTAAGAATTAGAGAGCTCTAGGTGTTGGAACGAACCAAAGAAGGTGATTTAAACAAGGAGGGCGACTGTAGGAGATGGATTTGGAAAGGTGGGCAGAAACTAGATGGGGCAGATCAAGGACATCAAGGAAAGTCCTTTAGTTTTCATTTCAAATGTCGGCATTGGTGATGTTTTGAGAAGGAGTCTGATTCCAGTTTTATTTGTTTTTGTTTTTTTTATTATGTGTAAATACTTGTACCAAGGAGTCACCATGCAACAAACCAGTTTATGAGTAGAGTGCATTTTGATTGATGTCACTCATTTTATTATTCTGCCCCTTCCCTCTTAAGCCTTCCCTGGCTTCACTTTTCTTAATCTTGTAGGATGTGTGTTAAATTTTATGACTGTACTATTCCCTTCCTTTCTCTCTTCATTAGACTAACCCACGCCCTCAACTACACACATTCCTTTCAAGTGCCTGTTTCCTGGTAATCATTTTGTTGGACTGTGAGTTAGCCTTTCTAAGGACTCACACCATTTGAATTCTCCCCTGAAAATACCATAGTATGGTTAATTTTGTGTACCTTGCATACAATCTTAAAATGTTCACTTGTACATTTATAAATTAGCTCTAGCTTCCATGATAAGAGGAAATGTTTGTCCCTTGTCTCTCCTGGCCTGACTTACTTCCCTTCACATGATTCTTTTTCCAGGTTCATCCATTTCTCTGCAAATAATATAATATAATTATTCCTTGTGGATGAGTAAAATTCCATTGAGTACATATATCGTACTTTTTAAAATTTTTTATTGTGAAAATACCGTACAGAGGGGTTACAATTACCTGGGCAAGATAATTGTAGCATTATTGCCTCCTCCTTTGTTTCTCCTTCCCATCCCCATCCTTTCCCATCTCTCCTCCCCACCCTCCACCCCCGCCCCTGCCTGGCCAAACTTGTAAAGTTCATTTTTCAACATAACAACTTGTACATCTCATTGTTGTGATGGGTCCTCCTGTATTCCTATTTAAATGGTTTGTTTTTGCCCTTCCCCTCCACAAATTAAACCAACATCAAATACAAACCAACATCAAATACAATGAAAGCAGGGGTTATACCGTGGAGGAGGTATATACAAAGCAACAAAGAAATCATCTTATAAATATGTTAGAAACAATTGCAAGAAAGAAAAAAAAAAACATTTCAATACTTATCTTGGGATTCATTTCACCTAACATCAACTTATCTGACTTTTTCCACTTGTCTCAGACATATACTAGTTATTGCAAATAAGGGAAACCATGGGACCTATGTTTCTTTGGGCTTGGCTTACTTCACTTAATATAATTTTTCCAAGTCTTTCCATTTCCTAACAAATGGGGCAATGTCATTCTTTCTGATGGAGGCATAGAATTCCATTGTGTATATATACCACATTTTCTTGATCCATTCATCTACTAAGGGGTATCTGGGTTGGTTCCATATCTTAGCTATGGTAAATAATGCTACAGTAAACATAGTAGTGCTGGTAGCTTTAGTGTGGTCTTGTTTGTGATCATTTGGGTAAATGCCCAAAAGTGGGTGGGATTGCTGGGTCATAGGGGAGCTCTATGTGGAGTCCTTTGAGGAACCTCCACTTTCCAAAGTGGTTGAACAAGTTTACACTCCCACCAACAATGCAGTAGGGTTCCCTTCTGTCCACATCCCCTCCAGTATCTGTTGTTATTAGAGTTCTTGATTGTAGCCATTCTAACTGGGATATCATATTTCCTTGATCCATTCATCTACTAAGGAGCATCTGGACTGATTCCATATCTTGGCTATGGTAAATAATGCTGGAAGTAATAAGATTGTGCTGGTGTTCTTATTGTGTCCTATTCTGTAATTTGTTGGATAAATGCCCAAGAGTGGAACTGCTGGATCATTATGGTAGCTCTATGTTGAGCTTTTTAAGGAGTCTTCCTACTGCTATCCAGAGTGGATGAACAAGTTTACATTCCCACCAACAGTATGATTGTGTTCCCTTTGGCCACATCCCCACTAGCATCTGTTATTGTTAGTCAAAGATGTGAAGGACCTCTATTATGAAACTTTAAAACCTGATAAAAGAAAATAAGGCAGGGCTGGGAATGTGGCTCAGTAGAAGAGTGCCTTCCTAGCATACATAAAGCCCTGGGTTTGATTCCTCAGTACCATATAAAGCCAGAAGTGGCATTGTGGCTCAAGTGGTAGAGTGCTAGTCTTGATTGAGCAAAGAAAAAAAAAGAAGTACAAGGACATTGCCCAGGCCCAGAGTTCAAGACCTAGGACTGGCAAAAAAAGAAATTAAAGCAGTTTTAAGGAAATGAAAAAAACTTCCATTTTCCTGGAATGGAAGGATTTACATCATGAAAATGGCAATACTGCCCAAAAGCATCTACAAATTCAATGTAATACCCATCAAAATCCCAACAATATTCTTTAATGACATAGAGAAAGCAATCCAAAACTCCATAGGGAATAATAAAAGACCCTAAATAGCAAAAAACAATCTTTAGGAGGAAGAATAGTGTTGGAGGAATACTAATACCAAACTATATTACAAAGCTGTAGTAATAAAAATGGTGTGGTATTGGCACAAGAATAGGCCTGAGGACCAATGGAATAGAGTAGAAGGCCCAGAAATGAACCCACAGACCTGTAGCCACCTAGTAGTTGATAAGGTATCAAAAAATACAAGATAGAAGAAAGACAGCCTCTTCAACAAATTGTGCTGGCAGAACTGGCTATACATATGCAGAACACTGAATCTAGATCCTCATATATCTATCACCCTACACCAGAATCAATTCCAGCTGGATCAAAGCCCTCAATGTAAGTCCAGATACCTATTACAGGCAGGGATAGGGGAAACACTAGGGCTTCTTGGCACAGGTTGAAACTTCTTAAGTACAGCTCCAGAATCACAACGAATTAAACAAAGACTGCATAAATGGGATTGTATCAAACTGAAGAGTTTCTGCATGGCAAAAAACATAGCTAGTGAGATAAACAGAAAGTTCACAGAATGGAAGAAGATTTTTACTAGCTATGCATCACACAAGGTCCTCGTATCTAAAATATACTTAGAGCTCAAAAAGTTAAGCGACCCCCCCCCCCCACAAAGAAACAACAACTCAATAAATAGGTGAAAGACTTAAAGAGACTTCTCTGAAGAAGTAAGAATGGCCAATAAATACATGAAGAAATATTCATCATCTCTGGCCATAAAAGAAATGCAAATCAATCTCACCCCAGTTAGAATGACCATTATGAAGAAAACTAAATATTGTTTGTATCCTTGATGATGGCCATTCTAACCGGGATGAGATTTATGTGGGATTTTTTATTAATAGTTTTTTTATTGTGAAAATACCATACAGAGGGGTTACAATTATATGAGCAAGGTAATTAATACATTTCTTATCAAGCATTGTTGCTTCCTCCTTTGTTTCCCCTTCCCATCCCTTCCCATCTCCCCCCACCCCCCTCTGCCAAAGTTGTAAAGTTCATTTTTCAACATAACATCTTGTCCATCTCATTGTTGCGATGGGTCCACCTGTATCCCTATTTAAACAATTTGTTTTTTCTCTTCCCCTCCCCAAATTATACCAACATCAAATACAATAAAAACAGGGGTAATACCCAGATGCCCCTCAGTAGATGAATGGATCAAGAAAATTCTATGCCTCCATCAGAAAGAATGGCATTGCCCCATTTGTTAGGAAATGGAAAGACTTG